GCTAGGTTAGTTCGTAGTTGAATATGCTGGATCTAGTAGCTAGGTTAGTTCGTAGTTGAATATGCTGGATCTAGTAGCTAGGTTAGTTCTTAGTTGAATATGCTGGATCTAGTAGCTAGGTTAGTTCGTAGTTGAATATGCTGGATCTTCTGAAAAAAAATTTTGTTTCAAGGCATTAAGCTGGTTTCCCAAGCTAATAATTTATATATCAAAAGAGGTGTACATAAATATATCAAAAGAGGTGTACATAAAAATGAAGTATATTTTTTCGCTCTTCTTTTCAGTGACCTTTCCACCTATTTTTGTTCAGCTACACCCCTTCACCCCTACTGCAATTACCATTCTACTCACACACACACCCACCTCTACCCCCCCACCCTTGCGTATATATTTGGAACCCCTGGGGTGAGAGGAGTGTGGATAAAAATAGAGAATCATCAGAGAATCATTTTCATGCAATCAAGCCGAGATTATTCAAGCCGAGATTATTCAAGTCAAGATTATTCAAGTCAAGATTATTCAAGCCGAGATTATTCAAGATGAGATTATTCAAGCCAAGATTATTCAAGCCGAGATTATTCAAGTCGAGATTATTCCAGCTGAGATCATTCAAGCTGAGATTATTCAAGCTGAGATTATTCCAGCTGAGATTATTCAAGCTGAGATTATTCAAGCTGAGATTATTCAAGCTGAGATTATTCATGATGAGATTATTAAAGCCGAGATATTCAAGCCGAGATTATTCAAGCTGAGGTTATTCAAGCCGAGATTATTCAAGCCGAGATTATTCAAGATGAGATTATTCAAATCGAGATTATTCAAGCCGAGATATTCAAGCTGAGATTATTCAAGCCGAGATTATTTAAGCCGAGATTATTCAAGCCGAGATTATTCAAACCAAGATTATTCCAGCCAAGATTATTCAAGCTGAGATGCTCAAGCCCAGATATTCAAGCCGAAATTATTTAAGTCGAGATTATTCAAGCGAAGATTATTCAAGCCGAGATAATTCAAGCCGAGATAATTCAAGTCGAGATTATTCAAGCCGAGATGTTTCAAGCCGAAATTCTTCAAGTCAAGATTATTCGAGCCGAGATTATTCATGATGAAATTATTCAAGCTGAGATTATTCAAGCTGAGATTATTCAAGCCGAGACTATGCAAACCAAAATTATTCAAGCCGAGATTATGCAAGCCAAAATTATTCAAGCCGAGATATTCAAGTCGAGATTATTGAAGCTGAGATTATTCAAGCCTGGACTATAAAAATCGAAATTATTCAAGCCGATAATATTCAAGCCAAGATTAGTCAAGCTGAGATCATTCAAGCCGAGATTATTGTAACCGAGATTATTTAAGCCGAGATTATTCAAGCTGAGATTATTCGAGCCAAGATTATTCAAGCAGAGATATTTAAGTCGGGATTATTTAGGCTGAGAATACTAGATTAATTAAAGTCGAGTCGAGATATTCAAGTCNGCGCTTCGCGCCCATCTTCTATTTAAATTGTGAACATGTTCTTTTTGTTTACATTTTAAAACAAAGAAGAAAAAAAATTTGCGGATTTTATAAAAAAAATTGGCGGATTTTCAAGAATTTTATTTTTTTCAAGATTAAAAACCTTTAAACCACATTTTTTTATCATTCATAAACCTACCCTGTGGTCACATGATGTCCCACACAAAATTTGGGCCCGATCGGTTCAGCCGTTTTGACGTTTATTGGATACAAACAAACAGACACCCAAGCCAAATTTATATTTGGATACAAACAAACAAACAAACAAACAAACAAACAGACAGACAAGCCAAATTTATATACATGTTAGCTATAATCGCTGGCCAAACGGGTGTTCCTCTGACATTTTTTGAGGGAACCTGGGAGTAACATTGGCTAAAACATCCGCTTTTTTCAAGATGGAATTTTTTTTTATATTTGAAAAAATTTCACTGGCAACTCTGGGCACTTGAGCTAGTATTGTATATAATATATATAACCTGTAGAGGAAAACTAATTATATTTTGTTATATTTGCTTCAACTATTTCTAAGTTTATGGTTAAGCACTATTATTTTCCTATTTTGCCCATAAACAGAGCAGACCAAAATACAGCAGGTATATACAGAGGGTTCCAAAATACATGAGATTTAAACAGGGAGTTCCAAAATACATAAGATTTATGCAGGGTGTTCCAAGATACATAAGGTATATACAAGGTGTTCCAAAATACAGCAGGTATATACAGGGTGTTACAAAATTTACGAGATTTATACGGGGTGTGTTTAAACAGGGAGTTCCAAAATACAAGAGGTATATACAGAGTGTTCCACAATACAGCAGATGTAAACAGGGTGTTCCATTATACAGGAGGGATACAGTTACATGTAGTGTCTAAAAACTTCCAGAATCTTCGCCATGATAGAGTTAATTAGTCACTTTAACTCTTGTCTTCATTCCTCCATATTGAAGTTGTTTGGTAAGATAAACTCCAGTTTTCAGTCCTCCATGTTGAAGTTGTTTGGTAAGATAAACTCCAGTTTTCAGTCCTCCATTTTGAAGTTGTTTGGTAAGATAAACTCCAGTCCATATTGAAGATGTTTGGTAAG